AGAGAAATGAAACATGATCCATTTGACATTTGACAAGATATAAACATCATACTAAAATTAACAGTGTGAACATTATGCTAAGTGAAATAAGCCACTCAGAGAAAGCACCATATGATTTCACTCAGATGTGGAATTTAATGAACAAACTGAACTATCAAGCAAAATAGAGAGAGACTCATAGAGAGCAGGCAGACAGCTCTGGGTGTATGTGGAGGGATTGAGCAAAAAGGAAAAAAAAAGAGAGAACTACTGGTCATGGACAACATGTGGTGATTGGGGGTGGGTAGAGGTGGAAGAGGGCATAGAGTCGATAAATGGTGGTGGAAAAAATAACAGTGCTTGATTAAATATGTAATAACTCTTTCAGATAATCATCCAACAATACCATAATTCAGTGAAGGAGAGATGTCAAACAGTTCTCTTTCATCTTCTTTCCTACTCATTCTCCTTTTTTTCTGGCCTTTTCTCTCGCACCCTCTCCGGCTCCTTCCTCCCCCTTTTTCCCATTCACTTCTCTTCACTGTTTCTTCCTCCACTCCCACCCTACCCCCCCTAAAAAACAAAAACAGAAATTCAGAATTAGACTTTCTCAAGTAAATGTGCTCCACCTGCTGGTTCTTTAAAGAATTTCACAATTTGAGAAACTTGAGACACCATGTATGCAGTAGAAATAATTTTATTACCTAAATTTTAGTACCAAAGAAGACCTTGCTAATTTAGAGACTAGGATCATTTCTAAAAATCTGAACGTAATGCCTGATTTATCGAATATATTATATATAGCATGCATTATTTCAATATCTTCTATATATAGAAGCACAGCTACTGTAATGTTTTAACCCTTATAATCACACCCAACTTGTCCCTTTTAATGTCCTTTGTTTCTATTCCATTTATTCAATGAGCTGCTTCTTGGCCTCCTTCCCTCACACCTTTTTCCAAGCTCATTTCTCTGGCCCCAGTTCAGTCTTCGACTCTCCTTTATTATTCTGCATGAACCTCATCAGACGGCTCACCTTCTATTTCTTCAACTAGCACCTTTATACAAATAATTGGTAAATATATGTTTCTAGACCTAACTTCTCTCATAAGCCTCAGACTCACATCTCTAAATACTGGCAGCTAGCAGACATATAAAGCTCGTCAAAACTGCTCTCCTCTTTTTTTGTTAAGGGCCTTTAACCTGTTCCAATTATCTACTGTTGTTTAGCAAGCTGCCCCAGCTAGGTGACATAAAACAGCAGCCATTTTATTGTGTTCACAGATTCTGTGAGCTGGGATTCTGGTTTGGCACAGCAGGGATGGCTCGGTCTCCGCTCCTCATGCTAGAGTGTCAGGGAGAAGACTTGCTGCTTTAGGGAAGATCCCATATCTCCCGCACATTACTGAAAGAGTGAGGGGGAGGAGGCGAAATGAAAAGTGGGTCCTTATTGCTTCCTAGAAATATTCACATTATTCATGTTGTATAGTATATAAGATTAAATACACCTGAACTAAAACTTTCAGCAGAATTTATTAAGTTTGTATTGATGTAGATATTTAAAATTGTAAATAATTATTCTTCTTTGAGGGTATCTACTGAATTATTTTTTTCAGTTGAATTACAATTTGAACTTATAAGAAATTGATAAGTGGGGTTGCAGTTTTGCATATTATTTCTACAGTTAGAAGGATGCCAAGCAGCAGGCTTGGAACATTCTGAAAGCTCCCGGCTGCCTCACCAAATCAGACAATGGGAACAACTTTGACCAGACCTGAACATAAATCGCTATGAAGACTTTTATTTATAAATGCACTATCGGCCCAGTGCATGAAATTTGTGCACTTGGAGAGGGGGGGTGGTTCCTCAGCCCAGATTGCGAGAGGGTGCAGGCCAGGCTGCTGGAACCCACTGGTGTATGATCAGGGCCGGGCGGGACATGGGAGGTTGGTCAGCCAGGGAGGGACATGGGAGGTTGGCCAGCCAGGGAGGGCTCAGGGCATGTCTGGCCCATCTTGCTCAGTCCTGATCAGCTGGATCCCAGCAGCAAGCTAACCTACCAGTCGAACGTCTGCCCCCTGTTGGTCAGTGCACGTCATAGCGAGCAGTTGAGCAGTCTTAGAATATCATTAGCATATTATGCTTTGCTTGACGGAATGACTGGACACTTAGCATATTAGGCTTTTATTACATAGGATTATTCACTTGCTGTTAATAGAGGCATTCAACTGGTACAATCTTATTTGTAAACTTTAAGTTGATACCTCCCCAACCATTTCATAAGCAAATGAGTCCATGACAGAGCCAATGTTGCAACTGTAAATGACTACAAAGTCAAATGACTGTATTTGTGTCAACTCCCTGAAACTCATTAAACTCACTGAAACCATGATGCATTAGATTATGCCAAGTTTTATGTTCAAACATGTGTTGATGAATGGGAATTAATTGGTGAAGGATTCTTTAAAATACTGATGAATGAGTTAACTTTTAGAATCAAAACAAAGAACATTGATTGGAAGATGGAATGCAATTCAATTATCTTGCTCTGCTGGCCTATGCTAATGTGTACCTGGTATTAAACCACCTGCAGAAATAGGTCTATAAGGTTTTATATTGTATGACCTATGCTTTGTTTTCAGATAACAATAATAAATTCAGGATTTATTCAAGACATTTGTAAATGTTTATGCTTCACCAACTTAATTGTGACAATTTAGGTTTATTATGAAATTGAAATTTTATGTGTTTCTTTGGGAAGGAGCAAATTTAATTAATACTTGTGGCAGGGATAATACAATAGTGGTGGCAGTGAACAGAGGAAGGAAACCAAGAAGCATTTCAAAGGTAGACTCAACGGGATCTTATTAGGACAACAAGGGAGGGAAAGGGGCCAGTCGCTTCTGTGGTTTTGGGTGTGAAAGGTTTTGTGATGGTTTCCAAGATGACAGCAAGTTCCTTGACACTCCTGCCACTGAGCTAAGTAAGGCCTAGCCCTAGTCCCTTCCCCTTGAATGTGGCTTAGTGACTCACTTAACTAGTGGAATGTGGAGAGTGACACTACCTAACCTCTGGGGATGGATCAGAAGGCAACCAGGCATACCTCACCTGGTGAAATTTGAGTCTAAGCTCAGCCAGCCTTCGAGTGGTCTAGCCCGGGCACTGATGTGTGACTAAAAAACCTGCAGATGATTCCAGCCTTTTTAAAAAATATATATATATATATTTTATTGATTTTTCACAGAGTGGAAGGGAGAGGGATAGAGAGTTAGAAACATCGATGAGAGAGAAACATCGATCAGCTGTCTCCTGCACACTCCCTACTGGGTGTGTGCCCGCAACCAAGGTACATGCCCTTGGCCGGAATCGAACCCGGGACCCTTGAGTCCGCAGGCCGATGCTCTATCACTGAGCTAAACCGGTTAGGGCTCCAGCCTTGAATGTAACAACAAAAGACACATGGAAGGATAAGCAGCCATAAGAAAACACATTTCTTGACCTTTTAATCGGGTGCTCGTTAGCATGCAGTTTTCTAATTCAAACATTGAGTTCAATGGGTGGGAAGGCGGAGTATACTGATAGAAAGTAGTGACTAGAAATTTGTTCCAAAGCATGTACATCCTCCCCCAAAATTTCCGTCCCTCTGACCACTAACAGACATATGAAAGAGCAGCACTCAGGTGCTCAGGCCGTTTGGGAGTACACCCTGGGCCTCTAGTAGATTCAGAATAGACATCAATACAAACTTGAAAGAGAAATTTACTTTGAGTAACAGCAGATCTTTTTTTCCAGTAGTTATGCAATTATGTTTCCCCCCCCATCTCATCTGTAAGAGAAATACATCAAAGGGTATGAAAAACTGATATGCACAGAAAATTTTTGAAATTTTATCTTAGTCCAATGCCCAGACACCAATAGTCCTCAACACAAGTAAAAATGCTAGCAGATCTATATGATAAAAGGACTTTTCATTGTAAAAGGTAAACTGAGGTTTATTTGAACATGCCTATATTAGGGGTCTTTAAATTTAATCAGCTTTGTTGAAGTATAAATTATATACACAATAAAATTCTATGATTTTCAGTGTGAAGTTCAGTAAGTTTTGATAAGTGTATACAATTTGGTAACCACTGTCACAAATCAATACATGGAACATTTCCTTCACCTCAAAATATTCATTTGTTCCCTTTCACAATCCATTTCCCAGCTCTATCCCTAGCCCCAGCCCCTAGCAACCACTGATCTGCTTTCTGTTGTTAGAGTTTTGACATTTTTAGTGATGGAGAATTAACAACCACAGGTAATCACTGAATTGTAACACATAGAGATTAAGAAAATTTCAATGTAATTATACAGTGAGTGCTCTTTGTGTCTGGCTTCTTTCACTTGGCATTATGCTTTTTAAATATTCATCCATGTTGTTGCATTTATCAAGCCATGCCTTCTCATTACTAAGTAGTATTTTTACATATGGCTATAACACACTTTCTTTATCCACTCACCTGCTGAAGGGCATTTGTGTTATTTCTATTCCTGGCTATTGTGAATAAAGCTGCTATGAGAATTTGAGTGCAAAAGTCATAATTAGGGAGGTTCAAATATTTAGGTGAGGAACTATGGTGTTAGAACTAAGAGATATTTGTCTTCCCTGTGCATATTATCCTGAAAAAAAAAGTGAAAAATACAGACATTTGTAAACCATATTCCATAATAAAATTTAATCAGTAGATCTGTTGTAAGACAATTAAAGAATTCATACATTTCCCAGCCCTAAAGTGTCACACACAGTCACATACATTCAACATGTTCCAAGATAATGCTTAATAGTATGTAGGAAGATAATATTCCTTACAAACTTCAATATATTATGAATTAAAAAAACATTCATATTATTATGTGAACAAAGAAGCCATTTTAAGAATTTTGTGAATTTATCTTAAAAGCAAATATGAGTTACAGAATCTCTCATTTAAAGAGAACAATTTCAACTAGTCCATCTTACAAGAAAAAATATTTATAAAATGCCTACATGCTTCTCACACTCATAACATTTATGCTTACTTTAATTAAAGAAGGAAAATGCTTCTCACTAAACGATAAACATTTCCTATATTCATAACATCCCCAGGATTTTTTTTTTTTTAGTTTAAATTTCCATATAGAACTGTCTGGAATAGAAAATTCTAAATATCAGAATGTATGGTTATAAACTTTCACATTCAAAAGTGCAGATAACAAGTTCTAGTTTTAAAAAATAAAAATTACAACTTAGATGTCCCTTTTTGAAATAACAGAGATGGAGAGTTAACAACCACAGGTAATCACTGAATTGTAACACATGTAAAGATTAAGAAAATTTCAAGTGTTCCCAAATATCTATCATTATATAAAAATGAGCATTTTACAATATTGTGATTTCTACAGCAAGATACAGACATACATATATTATGACTAAAGAAATTTCAGTAGCGACAAAGCAAAACTTTTACCTTCATTTCAAGTTGCTTTCAAAAATTACTGATAAACTCAATCTCATTGAATTAATGAAAATAAATTTATCCCACAACAGATTTTTGTGGCAGAAACTACAATTTTTAAGAAATATAAGAAATAAAAATAACATGAGAAGTTCTCCTGATGCAAACTATAATATTTAGATTCCCTTAACTCAATACAGGAAACCCAATGTCATATTTTGTAAACTAGTCATATAAAATGATTCTAAAAGTATCAATGAGATTTATATCAACCAATGGACTTGTGGTCACCTTCTCACCCATCACTGACAGCATCCAACGGAAACCTCTGGGGCCAGGGAGGCAGGCTCCAGAATGAAGACTGGGGCTCAAGACATAGGTGACTAACTGCCACAGGGTGGCAACGGTGCCGGCCAGTGGAGTGGGGCACACATTCTGTGTCCTCAAACCCCAGGGTGGCTGCTTTGCCTCTGTCAATGCACCCAATCCCTTGGATGGCGAAGAACTTCCAGAATTTCTGCTTCTTTGGAGTTCGCTGAGGGTGAATGCATGTATTCCCATCTGTGTACACCCAAAACGGAAGCAAAAAATGTAATAATAAAAAAATAATAAACAACACACATACCTGTTTACTTAAGATAAATGAAAAATAAAGTTCTAAAACAGTAAAAAATGTCTCAGACCTCTTTGTCTCCACTGTGCCTAATATGCCTTTCACCCACCAGGCTTTTTAAAAATACTTGTTGCTAACGAAATAAAGTTTCTTAATTCCTGAGCACACTTTGGCTAATATCCCAGAAGGAAAATACACTTTTACTATAAATTAGGGTTTTGTAAAGCTCTAACCTGAGATGACCCATGGGCAAACTATTTTTAGCTTCATACTTACACATTTATTTTGTGTTACTTTCTATTTATGGCAACAATATTGGCATGCCTTTTTAAATAGATTCTCTCTCAGAAAAAACATGAGTATAAAATTAACGTAAATAACACATCAGATAATATAAAGGGCCACATAATAAATACTTTAGGCTTTGTGGGGCCACATATGGTCTCTTTCATATTTTTTGCTTTTAATAAATCCTTTTAAAAATGTAAAATCCTTTCTTAGCTCAAGGTCTGTACAAAAACACATCTTTTGGTGGACTTGAATTTATCCTGCAGTCTTCAGTTTACAGACCCCCCAGTATAGATTATAAGAAGCTAAAAGTGACCTGTTGTGTTAATGCTACTCAAGTGAGTAAGGTGGTGATTTCTAATCCGCCCACATCTGCTTGGAATATGCATTATACTTAGGGGCCAGAGCGATCAGGCTGACCACCAGAGGCCTAATGGTCGTGTTTACTTTTCACTCACTTCTCATCTCTCCAGTGGCAGGAATACCTAACAGTGATGTGCGCGATCTTCTAACCAAGGACAGAAGATCCCTAAACAATAGTTAGACAGAGTCAATGCCTTCGTGAAGGCATGACAGCCACAGAGGGTACTGCTCTCACAAGGCTAGATCAGAACAGCAGTTATGAGGCAAGACAGACTGTCAATGGCATCCAGTAGTTAAATTCTTATCCAGACATTTATATTCATGGAGAAAAAAGATTCTAACTCTTGTAAAACAAACAATGATAACTCTGTTTTCTTTCTGATCTTTTCTATTTCAGTGTTGGCACACATCATTCTCATTTTCTTAAAAGCAGTTGTAGATCTCTATTAACCTAATAGCACCAATGCGAATATATCCGTCTGTAAAATTCCCCACACAGACTCAATTCACCTCTAAGAAGCTAGCTCACCACAGCAGCATGGAAAACACAGAGAGAAGGCTGTGCACCTCATACTTTCAAACAAGCTTAATACTTCCTACGGGAGAGTAAGACATTTCCTCACACGTGCAATAATTTATAATAAAATTAAGTTTTAGAAGTTGATATGCTCTTCCTGGAAAACTACCCAGGCAAGGATAATCCGGCTCTTAGACATCATCACCCCCGTCCTCCTGCTCCCTCTATCCTTTTCCTGCTCTCACACATAAAGCTGTATCACTCACCCTTATACCCCTTAAAATATCCAATTTGATTTTCCTTAATGATTTGACTCTGATTTTTTAATAAAAGCAGCAAAGTCAAAACCAGTGACGTCTCTGGGTGAGAGATCTGTGGTGTTAACGTTCATGTTTGGTGGGGGCTGAAGGCTCGGGGGAGGGGGATAATTATTATGACGAGTTATTCTTACCGAGCAGTCAGAGGTAAAGACATCAAGATGCTTTCGATCCTGGATCCCGGAGTGAAGAGGCCAAACTTTGTACCCCGGTCATACAGCAGGTTAAATTCCACGTATCTGACATACGGACATCAAACAACATTAAGGGTCAGCTGAGTAAAATCTTTCTTAGCCCATGATGAATACTTAAAGGGGGGACTTCTTCCTGCCCACCCTCCCAATCAGCTGGAACGGACACAAGTCTACAGTCAGTTGAGTTTTCTCCATCTGGACAGACATAAATAAAAGGGTATTCTATCTAACAAACAACAGGACATAGATTCAGCCCCAACACAGAGCCGTTATATAACAAGGAGGTTGTTTTCTAATAAATAAAAAGAATGAACACAAGGCTGAGAACCTGAAGGCACAACAATCATGAAAAAGAAATGGCGTGACTCCTTCTGGGCCTCCCCCACAGTCTGATATAGTTCAGAGCCAAAGACTTCATTTCACTGCCTATACCTCACAAGTACTAAGACCGGGCAGCAAACCTGTAATTAAAAGTCCAAATGCAGGTAACAGCAATCTATTAACATTTACTCATATATTCTAGATATTCCCTTTTATTGAAGTAGTTAATAGCATTAACAAGCAGTGATATAAATCAGCCTTCCTGCGGATTCATGGCAATCATAATAAAAGGCAGTGGTTGAGTTGCAGTGCTCAATTTTATTTGCTTAGAAAAATACCCTTAGCATCAATGAAAACTTGGTTTAGTACATTAGTTTTCCATTAACAGCCAGAGTCAGATGTAAACTCTGTCTAGCTTAAAAATATAATTGCCTTTAACATCATGGGATCCTTTGTAAAAGGGTCTCTTCTCCCCAATTTAAAAAAATGAGTTCTACTACCCAAAATAATTTAGATTGATCCATAAATCTGAAAATGTCAATAAATAGTACCCCTTTCAGATCATTTCTCAACTTGTCAGAAACTACTCTCTTAGTCTAAACTTCCTCAGATATTCTTTTTTATCCATTTGTTACTCTCTTTAATCACACATAGAAGAAAATTTTTTCTAGAATCTTGGAGTAGTTCAATTTTTAGAATGTGCTTTTGTGTGTGCAAACTTGCCAAAGGTTCTGAGAAAATTAAATTATATCCATGAATCCCTTTCTAGTCCTCACCATTTATTATTGATTCCATTTTGCATACTAATAACTATTTAATATCTTATGCCTGTTTCAAAATATAATTTTAGTGAATCTTCTTAACTTCCTCCTAAGAATTCCAGTCTCTCAGCCCTTTTCCACCCCTGCCTGATATTACCTTTCTGAAACATTATTTAAGGAATGACTGGTTCTCTAATTTGTACTGATGTCTTTTGTCAAAAACCGTGTAAGGAGTTCCCTAAATGAACTTTTTGGAGGATCTCCTACTGTTTCCTTTTTTGAGTGAATGATGTCCCTATCCCTACATTAGCCTCTCTGACTCCCACCAGGCTCAGCTTACATCTGTTCTTTCTGATTCTTTCTATACATTACTCTTCTCTGAGGTGCCTGGGAACTATGAACTTGAACCATTCCTTCAATCTAACTGATGCCTGAATCTTATCCTGTTTCCCTTTCTCAAAATATAACAAAACAGCAGTAAGTTAAAGATGGTTAGTTTCTGTTCTCCTATGAGGGAAAAAAAAAGACTCTAAGACTTGAAGTTCAAGTTCTGATGAGAGAATAGTAACTGAGGACAAGAGACTAAATGAGTTTGCAAGTAAGACTGCACAGTCAAAAGGGAAGCAGTCTCACTGCAGGGGAAACTCATTCTGGGCGGAGGTGGGGAGGAGTGACCCCCTGAAGGAGACAGATAGGGCTGTAAATGCATTGTAAGCAAGTAAAGACGTACTGATAACTGCAGAAGAGCTGGTGTTATCTTTCGCCCCAGAGTTTACTGCCATCTGAAGCCCAGAGATAAGGGTGGTAGAAGGAGGCTCTCCTTGCAGAAGAGTGACCCACCACACCTCAGAAAATTCATCTAACACCCCCCACTTCTAACTCCAAACACATGAGTGTCTGCATATCGAATCTTACGCAAAACTAGACCATGTACTTTCCATAGCGTTTTGCTTTTTCTTTTTAAATTATCCTCTTAGGTATACCTTCCCCACTGAACTGTGAGTTGTTTTTACAGGTCCATGCTATGCTCACCTTTGTAGTCAGCACAGAGACTAGCCATAGGGGCACATAAGTGTCAAGTGAAAAAAGAAAGAAGTAAAGGTGTATTTGAGAGATCATAGGAAAACAAAAACATGTACCAAAACAGATGCATTGTGTAAGCAATTTCTAAGAAGAAAAGCTAATCAACTCTCACTTTCCCATGTTTATCAACGGAGACCAGACAGCACAGGTGATCATAAAGAAGGATAAACACAGACATACATCTTTAGACCTGGAATGTTATTTAAGGTGACCTTTTTTGGGCACTAGTGTTACCTCCTTAAGTGCCCAAAACTTCATATGGTTGATACAGAATGAACACAAGTGAGAAAATCCACTTTACAGCCATGGACCAGCAGTATATATGCAATTAAGATGGCAATGAGAAACTCCTGCGAGCCAGAATAGTGGATTCTTTGGAGCTGATTCACAAGTATACCCCCACCCCGCAGCTGAAGATAATCTCAGGATGATCACCCAAATGCGCTCACCAAGCTCAATGAATGCACAGAGCAGGGTGCTAAGGTGAGTATCCCGGTAAGAAACACAAACCTGCTTTAACCACTTCCTTCATGAATGGGAAAGGCTGCAAGTTTTGAAGTCATGATAATCTGGTTCCACATCTGGCATCTTTATTTACCAGCTGTGTAACCTTGGGCAAGGAACTTGCCTTTCTGAGAATTAGTCTTATCATCTATAAAATGATGATTACACCAAAATCACAAGTTTGTGGAGAAAAATAGATGCAAACTGCCTCATATATGGGTTGGCACACAGTAATGACTCCATAATTAGTAAATATTATCATTAAGTGTAAATAATTTCTAAAATGATTATTTTCATTAAAACAACGTCTAAGAAACCTTAATGACGAATGAAAAAAGGTGTGATTCCAAATTTACAAAGCAGCAAAAACATTAAATGGTACCCATTATGTTGGCATATGGCTGGAGGGTACTGCTTGAAACCTAAGTAAAAGAAATCGGCTGAATTAAATTCATCAAGTACTTACTACATGCCTACTATGAATCCCTTATGTAGACTAATGAAATGCACTTTGCTCTTTCTAAAATACTATATTATACAACGTTGTTTTATTCATATACTATTCATCTGGTTATGAAAAGAAATTAGGGTGAGTACTAATACAACTCTGAAAAAGTATCTGCCCCAGATAGCACACCACCCACGGTTACTAGAGCTGCGCCACCCCTCTCCCCAGCTACACAATGAGCTGGTTTATTCTCCTTTCAGTCACTCACCGTCCCCTCCTGAGCTGCTGCCACAGCTTCTCCTGGGGGGTGAATGCGTCATCACGGTGCTTTTTCACAAGGGGAATATAAGCAGGAACGACAGCCTGAGCACAGCTCTGCACAAACTGAAACACCTCCTCCTTGGATGGAGAGTCAAGGTCATCAAAAAAGATTCCCCCGATGCCCCTGCGCTCCCCACGATGGGCTATGTAAAAGTAGTCGTCACACCTGGAAAACAGAGCAAGGCCCAATCAGGGATCAGAGGGAAACAAAGGCATGAACGTCAATGTGAGTGTTTCCACTTGGAGCACCATCCTTGACTAAGGCCAGCAGTGACCTCACTCTTTGTCCAAAGAAGCAACTTATACTTAGATTCCATTACATACCTACCAAACACCCTGGGTCTCCTCACAACTCTTGTTTGTTTGTTTTTTCTTTTTTCTTTTTTTTATTATTATTAGTTAAGGTATTACAAATGTGTCCTTATCCCCCCCTGTTTTTTCTTTAGAGTTTCTTTCACAAAGTGTCCAATTCCACCTTTCTCCTTGCCACAAATCTCTGGTACATTTCCATCTGTCCCTAATAGTTCTCCAGCCCTGCCTATGCCCTCATATATCGTCATGGCAATAGAGAGACAATTCTCATCTGGGATGAAAATTAATTTCCCACCAGAGGATTAAAAAACCTTGGATTTGCAAACATAGATCACCTTAAAGTTTACATTCGAAATCATTTGGAATCAAAGAATATACTGCAACCTTATGAAAACCACTTAAAACTGGTATCCCAATTCTAGGGGGCAATGAAATAGTTCAACCTTCGCCAGCTAAAAAAAGGTATTTAGTGAGGAACAGAATATACTTTAGGTATCATGACCTACCATTTTTTAAATTTAGGGTAGAGATCTGGGCCGTGCCGGTCACAAGCCTCCTTTAGAGTTCTGTGAAAATGGACGGCATCCTCTTGGTTCAAGTACGTGGGAGTAAGGTCACTTCCCCCACCAAACCACCAATGCTTGTTACCTACCAAATCAAGACATGTTATTGTGACTTGGACTCTGGACTTTGAGATGCATCACGTTACTCACTGAATTAGCAAACTTAATTTATCAGCTAACTTTATTAAGCATGAAACGGGTGACAATCAAAAACACTGAACTGGACCCTGGCTGGGTTGTGTCATCTTGATATGTCAAGATTGTGGGTTCGATCCCCAGTCAGGGCTCATACAGGAATCAATCAATGGATGTATAAATACATGGAACAACAAATCAATGTCTCTCCACCCCCCACCTTCCTCTCTCTCTCTCTCAAAAAATAAATAAAGAAATAAATAAATAAAACCAACTGAAATTAGCTCTAAATGGCCTGTAAGGCCTGGACAGGAAAGAAGTAAGAAACTAAAAAGTGAGAGTAGAACTAGGCAGGGAAATGACACACAGGGCAGGGAATGATCAAACACCACAGGTGGACCAGGCAGTGGATTTTAACTCTGGCTACCTATTAAAATCACATGAGAAGCTTAAAATGCCTCTGTTGGTCACAATTTGAAAAAAATAAAAATAAAAGCAAGTATCGGTCCCAGGCATCTATAGCTTATTTAAAAACAAAACAAAATACACACAAAAAAACAGGAGATTCTTATGCTGCTTATATTAAATACCATCTTCCCTTTCCCCCAGAAAGGGTAAAAATACCTGCTGAGGGAGACAACTCAAATAGTTTGAGAATAACTATATCATGTGCTTAGTTAGGTCTATAGGTTGTCAGTACCAGTTGCCAATTTTTTAAACATAAGCAACTTCAAAATGAAAAGTTAAATACATTGACTTTAAATGCCATCACCTACAGAGACATCAAGGGGAGTAGCGTGGCACTGCATAGGCGCTCTGACAGGTCTAAGAGCTGGCTCAGCTAACGGGATTTCTAGGCTGGAATTACACATGCACAATGAGCTG